ATTTGATACAATAAAGAAGCCCATATGAATTATGTGTTCTTATTTATTTTTCATTTTTGAAGCTATATGACAGATTTGGAGACAGAAATTGTTACTTACTGAAATTCTCCCCATAAACAGCAGCACAAAAATCTCACTTTAATTATGATTATATGAATCTCATTCATTTTAAAAATGGCTGCAGTGATGAGACACATAACTATTATATTTGAAAACGTGCATGCAGGAGTGACATTTGAGAGCTATAGAGAAAAGGAAGTTGAATTTTGGTCTGTTCCATGCAAAAAGGATTTAAATCATAATGGCTTCAGAAGACATAAATAGCACATACAAGAGCACTATAAACCAATTTTTTTGCTGTCCTTTTTGGAGCTTGACAGTTCCTGGTCATTGTGTGCTTTCCACTTATGTTTCATTGTCAGAGACAAACCATATCCTTAACTGTTACAGTTACACGACTACAATGGACATATAGCGAGCCGGCATTCCAGAGGGTTTAAAAGTTGAAATGTGAAGCACGTATTTTGTTAAAGCACTTGAATTAAAGCCCTGGTTATTTATTTATTTATTTTTATTGTAAAGTTGTCTAAATCACAATTTTTACGTGGGACTACTTTTCTAGATACATGACATTACTTCTAGTTTATTACAAACATAATGTGGGTGGAGTGTGTTGCGTGTAAATGTTCCCTTTCTGGAATTGAAAACATTTGATGTAACTACACAGGCAAGGTCACTATAAGTGATTCTATCACTCGCATGCCATCATGTATAATATTGAAGCATTGTGTAATAAATGGTAATAATAAGCATTTTAGTGTTGCAGCCTGGCCTTGTGCTCACTGAGCTTTTTAAGTTGATCAGTTTGATCATCCTAGTTGTGCATCTGTGAACAATAAACACCATTGGTGAATTGGAAAGTGTGTTTAAACTGTCCGATGGCAGCATGGTGTGGTGAATGGTCTGGTTATGCCCTCAGGTAGACACCATGAGTTTGTGTCCTGCCTAGCTACCTGCTTATTCATCATGCTGAGCAGTCTGAGACCCAATTGAATTAGTTCCCTTTCAGTTGCAATGTCCAATGTCCTCGTGTTAAAAGCCTCCGCTGTTTAAACAGCCAGGTGGGTCCTGGCAGTAAAAAAGTTTAGTTGGGCTTCTTGCACCACTATCATCATACTGAAGTCCTCATGTCACACTTAAAGGAGCCAGGTTTCAAAGAAAATGCGCATATTATTCATCACTGGTAATGATACCTTCATCAGCTCTTTTGTACTATCGGCTAATGCAGACCGCAAGACCAAAATGCTGTAAGTCTGTCATTACATTTATCTTTGAATTATTATGTTTTTTCCACTAAAACGTCACTCTAGGACAGGAAAGACTGCTGGAGGGAGAATATGTCTGGATAACATCAGGAATGTATCCATCTGTAGACTAATCGCTAAATATAATTCTGACACATTGACCCGTTTTGCAATAGTTCATTTTTCCTTTTATTTGAGTTTGTGTGCGTTATTAAATTAGTTTAAAGTCTACTGGCAGAGCATAGACAGACCCTGTTCCTTTTTTCCCCCGTTTCATAACATGTACAACCGTTATGGCCTTTGTAGTTGTATGCTTAATATCTGAGGAAATACATAGCAGGTGTTAAACCAGATCTGAATGGTGTTACATAAGTTCAGAATGCATGACTTCATTTCGAAAGCTTAAGTATGAAAATGTGAGTTGACAGAAAACTTACTGTGTACTTTGTGTATAATGTCTATCATAAATTACCAAAAATATCTTAATTTAATATAAGTTGCTTTGTGAAATAAATGTAAAACATGTAATTGTATGCCTTTATTATAGCATATTTGAATAGATGGGAAAGTAATGCATACTTGAAAAGTTATCAATAATTGTCTGCAATTAGATAAATAAAAGCAACGTTTCACATTTTTTTTTAATTCGTCACAAAGGTGTATGATATGAATGTATTAGGATAAGTGATCGTTTTAATCATCTTTATACCTTCACTATTTCATATCCCTTCACAAATTAATGTTTAGTAAATACTGTATATTCCATGTAGGTCAAAAAACTGATTGCATGGTAATTATAGAAAATAACCGATATCAATGTGCTGTTTGAAATAGTTTTAAATTGACTATAGTATGTAAATGATGATTAATCTGAAAAAAAAAAAATCTTATAAATTAAAAAAAAAGATTTACTAAATTTTTAAAAGTTACATAATTTTTTGTCCTAATGAGGAAGTGATGTTTTTTTTTTTTAAAATGTAATTGTAGAAAGTTTTCTGTGATGGGTAGGTTTAGGGGTCAGGTTATAGTGTAAGGGGATATAGAATATACCATTTCTACAATATACAAATGATTATGGAAAGTCCCCTTAAAACATGAAAACACAACATGAGTGTGTGTTCTTTCACTTCTTTGAAATGTATCCCTGTTAAAAAGGATGAAGAAATTGGTTGAATAGCAGCAGGGAAAGGTGTCAAATCTCACCATCAGTCAACAATCTAGAAAAAGCAGTTAACCACAGGATTTGACCTCACCTTTTGCTGTATTCTCCTGGGCTAGCCATGAACCTGATATGACAGCACAGCAGTGAATACATTAGTCTTAAAGGACAGAACAAATGTGCTGCTTTTCTGAAGTTGACCAAAATGGGTTTTTGTAATGGTTGACGCCAATACCAATATCTAGAGAGATGTAAATATATCGATGAATGTCATACCGTCTAATGGCAGCAAATAAAATGTACACATATCGGACAAATGAGCACTTATTTTACTCTTCTTACTAAAAAATTGTGAAAGCAGGAATCATTTATGAAAATGCAATATATCGGTCTATCGTACCCTCTTGGTACTGTAGTTCTCCCCTGCATTTCTTCATGTGTTTTCCCCTCATAATGTGGCATATAATAACTAGTGAATCAGCCTGTTAGGCTTGTGATTGTAAGCTTTGCGTGAGAACTGAAGAGAACTTTTATGGGTTAATAAAATCTTGATTTCTTGAATAAATAAGGTTTCTGAGGGCTGCTCTGTACTGAGCTCTTGCTGCTGGGCGATTTCAGGAACAATGTCGAATCACTCAGCCTGTTATAGATCTTCACTCTCATGAAATACAGGTCATTTTATTGTTTTCCAACACGTTCTCATCCCAAGACGTCATCTTACTGACGCTTTGGACCATGCGTCAACATCCAACGTTTTAGGGTACAATTTAACGTCAGTTAGATGACGATCCTGGGGCGTCATCCAACTGACGCTTTACCTTTAGCGTCAGTTAGATGACGCGGGTAGGTTTAGGTCCGGGGTAGGGTTAGGATTAGATAGCGTCATCTAACTGACGTTAAAGGGTACCCTAAAACGTTGGATGTTGACGTCAAAAGCGTCAGTTATATGACGTCTTGGGGTGAGAGTGGGCTGGGTTTTCTTGTACCAGAGCTGCACAAACCTTACCAAACAGGCATTATTGGAAATGATGAGAAATTTAGATTTGTGTCGTGCATCTATAAACTTGGGAACATCTGTTGTCACCTTTGATATGGGCTTCATGTAAGCTTTAGATCTAGTTGACCTTTTGTCCTTTCCGTGGACATTTGAATAAACCTTATTTGACCCCGGTGTCTGTTGTGCATCTAGGAGTTTTGCCAAGCCTGGCTATTGTATCCTTGATCTGATCTCCCACTAATGAGTGAATAAATGAATAATCAGTCGTTTCTATTTTAAATTCAGCCTTTTTTTCTGGATGCCTCTCTCTCGTGCCCTCTCTTCCTCTCCCTCTCCCCGTCTCTCTCCAACTCTTTCATTAAGAAATAGCGGAAAGACCCGTCTCTCAGCACCTCCTGATTGGAAAGCTGCCGGCTCTCCTCTTCAAATACTAACTGTATATGTTATTGTGAGGGTGCTGTTGTGATAACATTGGGGTCTTTCCCATCAGACCAGGAAGGGGGAGATTTGAAGACAAGAAGGGTCTTGTTAAGGCCATTGTGTTTACACTCATTATTTAGTGTGAGCCCACAGGGCGAACCACAGGGACGACTGTCACAAAACATAAAGCTGTTAATAGCTCTGACACAATCCTTCTGGCAGCATCTGAGACTAGTTTGTCACTCTTAGTTATGCTTGCGCACCAAAAAATGCAAGTCGTTACATTATTATGTGTGCAACGGTTTGTTTCAGAAGGCTACTTTACATAAACCTTCGATTTGTTCGTCAAACTGGACAATAACAACATTTATCATTTCATGAAAGAGCCATTGCCTTGGGAGACCAGGTCATTCAGGGGTCAAGTGTCCAAAGCCTTCCTTTTCCTATTAATTTTCCCTGCACGTACCAGTCTGTCACACACACAAAAAGTGTGTTTAACACAACAAATCGCAAACTTTATCCACAGGAGCGGATAACAAAATTGACATTTGAGCCGTTGGGAAAAAGGCTGATTTGATTAAGATAATTACCGTATTTAGGCACACTTAAAATTGAACCTAATTAAACAGGCTTTCTCGGAACGTGATCACATTTTGCAAGAACTAATTAGTTTTTTCTATGTATGGAGGAAAACCATGTTATTCTGCCTAGCTTTTGTAAAAGAATATTTTTTGAAATCGTAATAGTTGGTGACTGCCCACACTTAATGTTCCTTATGCAACGTGTTTTATCCTTGGGCAATGTGTCCAATCATCTATCTATCTTCCACAGAAAAAATAAATATAAACATTTTTAGAGCCACATGAGAGTTAATGATGACAGAAGTTTATTTTTTTGGGTGAACTGTCCCTCTATCTCTGGTGAAAATATGGCGCAAGTGTGTAGTCACTTATGCTGACTGTTGGCAAAATATCGTACACTCAGTGGGCCATAGTTGTACAAATCACATGTTGGACACGTAGTCTCATGTATCTGCTGGATTACATATCTATCAGACAGAATGAAGAATCTAATGTCTTCATGTCTTTAATTTAATGTCTTTATGCCTCCCTCAACTCAGGTCTACACTTACAGCCATAAACTAATGAGTAACTTAAGGAGGGCCAATCATTGGAGATCTTTAAAAAGTGAGTACAAGAAATGACCCATAAACTGTTTGTGAGCTTTAGCTGCGAGCCATGACCATTGTTACAATGGAAATGTATTCACTCTGTAACACACATAGTTTAACTGGTTTCAGGTAATGACATGATTAAAATTGTGTGCAAATTAGAGAAAGCCAACAACGCAACCCTATAAGAAGAACTCTTCTATTTCATTACCAGTTTCACACAATTGTTTGAGTCCTGCATTTTAGGTTTTTTTTTTGTTCCACCACAAATCAAAAAGAAATATAACACTTATAGGAAAGGTTGTCATTACTGACAGGTAAAGGCTCATTTAAACAGCCCTGATCGGCCATTACGCAATGGTAAACTGAAATGGGATGCTGTAATCAACACTCAACATCTGATTACATAATTGTGGAAGCTGTAACCACAGTCTAAATTGTATTCAGTTAATTGTGAAGCTCGAACTTTACTGTTATTTGTGTTATGCCATTTTTTTCCAGACATCATTCCAGTTTTATTGAGGGGTCTTCTTGTGAAATGTTTTTTCAATAACTCCATGTCAGTCCATGACACATTTTCTTGTCTCATTAGAGACTATAGAGACAATTCTTTTACTCTAGTGTCAATATTGAGACGAGTATCACTGACCATCACCTTGTGTCCCTGATTATTCATATCCTCATTTTCAGGGTTATTGGGTCGACGTCTGTGTTTTGTTCATTATCTCCACCTGCCTATAAGTGGGAAAATAGAGAAACAGATTTTTATTTTGTGCTTTTTATGAGGTTTTTATGTTGCTACACACTGTAAAAAAATATTTTCAAGATTTATTATCACAACATTTTTTCTTTTGTCAAATCAACTTAAATCATTTATTTAGTATAACTTATTATTTTGAGTTTCTGATGATTAAATCAATCTCCTTCATTGTATTAACTCACTTTTTCCAGTTCAATCAACTTAAAATTTTACGGCAACCAGATTACTTACTTTTTTAAGTTAAACCAACAATATTTTTTTACAGGATCATGGATAAAAGCCAGATATATTTGTTTACACTGCGTTAGAAGATCTTCTCCTTTTGTGTTGAGTTGTAAATGCACACAAACTGCATATTTTAATCTGAGAGATCTTTTCTCTTTTGTTTTTGCATCTTACCAGCCAGTTCTGTCCCCCTCGCTTTTTATCTCCCAACCTGAATGAAAATGAAGTCGGGTTGACAACTTTCCAGTAGTTTACATTCCATCATCTTTAAATCTTTCTCACCCTGTAGTGCTTTCTGTTTTTCTCTATTAAAGGGTACATTGTTATCTGCCACTGTGAGATATTGATATTGAAGCAGAATGACAGATCGGATTAGGTCAGGCATTTTTAAACCCATTGGCCTATCGCTCACCGTTTCTGGCCCCATCAGGGCAGCGGTCCTCTGCTGTTATCTCATATTTCCTACTGATTGAAAACCATCAGGCTCATAAGCAATTTCTTAAAACTGGTGACATACTAGGAAAGCTTTCTGGTTCCTGATCTGTTTGTTTCACAGTTTTTGGCTGGACACTGGTTGGTGGTGACTGGTGACATACATGATAAGGTGTTTTTACCACATTGAAAGCTTTGAATTCAATCTCAAACCTTTTTAGAGTCAGACATTGTAATCAAAATAAAATGCAGGTCATTTTTAACACTGGGTTTGGAGGAAAGCTAAGTCATGTTTATTTCTTAAAAAAACAGTGCAAAATATTTTTTTGTGTGTGTGTGTGTGTGTGTGTTTGTTGATTTGTTTTGTATCTTATGTAAAACAATAGTCCATTTTAATTTGGGCTTTTGCAACATTGACAATTCATCTTATCACTATAGCAGTATGATTTTATACAAACTAAATCATTTTAAGGTAAACCAGTTCTATTATTCGTAACTCTCCAAGGCATTTATTTTCAGTCAAGAAAAGGCATCTACTTAAATGGGGAAATGCTGTTGGCAAAAAATGTTTATTTAACATATCTGGAACAACTGAAATTAAATCTTTTTCTGTTTTATTTTGCTGCAATGATGCAACGGTGTTCCTGCTTAAAGGGTTAATTAATTTAAAAATGTAAATTATATCATCATTTCCTCACCTTCATGTTGTTCCAAACCTGTAGGACTTTCTTACGTCTGCAGAACAGATAAGATGGTATAACTATCCCTTCATTAAGGTTTAATGTTGAAACATCCATTTTATTAGTGTTAAAATATTTAATATAGTATTATAACACATATAATTTAATATTACATTTAATATAAAAAATGTAACATTTTAATACTTTTATTTTAAAAGCATAGGAGTATTGTATTCTTAACTTGTGAAAAATACAAGCAAATATTATGATACTTATGATTTCCATTACACGAGAGTAGATGTTAAAACTTCATAATGATTTATACTTGGCTTTCGCCAAGGTAAGCTAAGACGTAGCTTTACAGTAAACTATGCTTCTCCATCCATTTACGCTTCTTTCCATATGGTGGTGTGACTCCCCTTCTGTCTGGCGTTAACGGATGCAGTCATGCAAGTAAAGCAAGTTACATAATCAGATAACTTTTTTCAATAACTAACACATTACTTTTAAATTTACAACAAAATACCTGAGTTTTTTAAATAAGTAATGCAAGTTACTTTATTTTCCCAATAATTGACTGACAGCTCTCCTGTTCTCATGTTGACAGAAATCATGAGTAAGTGCAGAGGCGTTGTTTGCGCTGTGATAACATGATGCTTATTGTAGTTATAAATAATGAGCATGTACACTAAATATAGGCATGCATAATAAAAACAGTGAAATTCAGACTTTGAATACTACACAAACCTGCAATATTTACACTGTAAATTACACAAATATACGTTATGTATTTAATCTCACTTTATTAAACAGTGTCATTGCTGCTGACCTTTGATTATCCAATTAATCCATATGAATAAGATAAATTACTTTAATCATTCATCACATTTGTGTTTCATACCTGTAGTTTTTATTGCTGAAGTGAGAGTGATCTTCTGCCATCCAGAATGGCAGCGCAGCTGAAAGGTTTGTTTGAGCTATGCTCTCTGACCTTAACATTTGCCAAAATAACTTTTGTCTGTTTTTGTCATTTTAAAAAAAACATGCAGCCCCAGCCTAGGTGGGAAAAAAGTAATGCATCAAGTAATGTGATGCATTACTTTCCATGAAAAGTAACTAAATAACGCAATTAGTTCAAGTTGTCATCTTGTTGGACTTTTGAGTCCTAAAATATATCCTTTACAAGAATTTTTTTTTTTAAATGTACAAATTGAACCTTTTGAAACTTATTTTTCACATATGGATAATGTTTCAAAAAATTCATTTAAAAAAAAAAAAAGATCTGTTTTATGTTTTAGGAATGTTGTCTGTTATCCCTAGAGTCTGAATCACATTGAGTCATTTCTTCACATTGTTCAGCTATTTCCTGAACAATGTTCAGTCTGAACACGGACATGCTTTGAAGTTATAAAATTAGTTACATTTACTTAAAGATTAAATTTCACTAGAATCATTTTGTGGGAATATTCAGTTGTTTTACTTGTAATTGTGCAGTATTTTTTGTTATATGGATGCTAAGAGATACAGTACACACACGCATTGCTACCCAGTTAGTTTGCACACTAGTGTCTCTCATTTATCTCTTATGCACAGCCACAGTTTCTATGCGAATCTATAAACAAATCGGAAGCAAACAGCAAGCTTGGTTTCACTCCAGACACTGTATCTGAACCACATCACTATAGTTTAATAACAACACCATTTACCTTGTTTTCCTTGATGAGCTTAACATGTGACAAATGATGGAAGTGAAGTATTTATAAAAATAGGAAATAATTTTAAAATAATAATAATAAATGTAAAATTATAAATGATAATTTTTTTATTACTTTAAATTCATACAATATGAATAATTTATATATGTGTTTTTGTTTGTTTATTAGGCAAGCAGAAAAATACTTACTGTTGAGGCACTTTTCTCAGAAATACTGTATAAATCTGAAAGGTTTTGTAAAAGAGGTTGGCATGACTGTGCAAGGAGCATATTGGTCACCTGTCAAGTCGTAATGTTCTGCTCTGTTTATTTTGTGTCATATTTCCTCGTGCTAGCAGGTACATATAATCTGCTTGATCTAAGGAGAGAAAATACCTCCTACGTACCAAGACCTGCACAAATGCCTGTACAGAAAGAAACTTCCTCCTAGAGATTTTGTACAAACCTTGAAAGCAAAATAGAGCTTTGTAATAAAGGTTAATTCAGTTGAACTCCAAACAAACACATGCTAATGCGAGGATGACCAAGGTTAGAGGTGGGAATAGGAAAACACACGCTCATTGTATCACAGTGCAAATCTAATCTAACAAATACACAGCACTGCCCTGGAAATGCCATTTCTCAACTACAAAGATCACTTAATAATAATAATAAATTAAGATCACATAAATAATGAAGCGTGACTTCTAAACCTCACATAATTGCTCTTTTTCCTCTTTTGCAGATTGATGTTATTGGACAGAGCAAAGAAGATTAGTCATTGTGCGACCTTGAGAGATGGAGTTGACCATTTCATTCTGCTGACCTACCAGAGACCTCTCCAAGGTGATCATTTCACAAGGATTAATGGCATGTTCTCTTGTGGTCATGTCTTTGACCTCTGAGCCCTCCGAGAGGTTAAAACACTAGCCATGAAATGTGGTAGAGACATGTGACATGTCAGGCCCACCATGCTAGACCAGAGTGGGCTACAGTGTTACTCTCCCTATTCAATACATGAAAGCAAAACGGAGACCTTTTGACTTTTCAGTCTCATTTTTAAACATGGCTTGAGTTTGGACCGTAGAAACTTTTTTCAATGATTATATAAGTCTCAGAGGAAGCGAAGAGACCATGTGTAACATCTCAACCTCGTGCAATGTTGCCTCGAACATAGACCAGTTCTTTCAGCCGGCGCTGTATATTATAGTCATCGTCCTTGGCTTCCCCACTAACTGCATGGCCCTGTGGGCCGCGTATATGCAAGTCAGGCAGAAGAACGAGCTGGGGATCTACTTGATGAACCTCTCGGTGGCTGACCTCCTGTATATTGCTACTTTGCCACTTTGGATCGACTATTTCGTTCACCATGACAACTGGATCCACGGGCAAGAGTCCTGCAAGCTATTCGGTTTCATCTTCTACACCAACATCTACGTCAGCATCGCCTTCCTCTGCTGCATATCTGTAGATCGTTACTTGGCGGTGGCTCATCCCTTGAAATTCGCTAAAGTGCGCAGGGTCAAAACAGCCTTACTGGTCAGCGCGGTTGTATGGATAACCGAAATAGTGGCTAACTCTGCACCTCTCTTCCACGACGAACTCTTCAAGGATCGATTCAACCACACCTTCTGCTTCGAGAAGTATCCCATGCAGGACTGGGTGGCTGGGATGAACCTTTACCGCATTTTTCTCGGCTTCTTGGTGCCTTGGGGTGTGATGCTGGCAGCGTACAGAGGCATCCTGAGAGCCGTGCGGGGTAACGTCTCCACTGAGCGGCAGGAGAAGGCCAAAATCAAGAGGCTGGCCCTCAGTTTGATCCTCATTGTCCTCCTCTGCTTCGCTCCCTACCACGTCCTCTTGTTGTGGCGCAGCGTGCTCTTCCTCAGCAACCCCTGCGACTGTGGCGCCGAGGAGAACTTGTTTGGTGCTTATCACGTGACTCTGGCGCTCACCAGCCTCAACTGCGTGGCGGACCCAATCCTCTACTGCTTTGTCAACGAAGGGGCCCGTCATGACGTGGGCCGGGCCCTGTCCACCCTCTTGGGTCTCTTCCAGCGAGGCCAAAGCCCAGAGGCGCTTATGGGGGCATCCATCACAGTAGAGACGCCCCTGGCCATGAAGAAGCCTGATTTCTACAGTGAAGTCAAAACCAATGCCTATAAAACTGACATTGAAGTACTCAAAGACGAGTGCCTTCAAATGACAATTCTCAGTGTTAAAAAGTAAAGTTATATGTCAATGTCAATAGCAAAATATTAAACCAAGTGCAATTTTGAAGCCCAAAGAATACTTCAGTTTTGACATGAACGCATAGTGTATGTGTACAGCATGTGAAACACTACACATGTGCACTAGAAAGTTTCATCTTTGTCCAGTGTCTAAGCTATTTCTCTCCAGAAGTTATGACCGATAAAAATGTCTTTTAAAATTTTGTTTTTTGCATGTATCTCTTAAACCCCTCACACAACCTCTTGTCAATGTGGTCGTATATTGTTGTTGTCGTCTCCAGTAGTTTGTTGTTATGTCTCATCTTTTTCCCCAACTGTGAAACAAAGGGATCGATACCTTGTGGAAAAACTAACCTACGCATATAGAGCCCGTTCTCATCCCAAGGTGTCATATACGACACTTTTGTCAAAGCGTAGACATCCAACCAGAGAATGTCTAATTGAAGAGAATTGGCACTGGCAGGTTACTTCCGGTTTCTGGACTGGCTGCAGTTACACGTCTCTGTCCATGCGGGGGCGCTCGTGGTCGAGTGCAGAATGAATGGGAGTCAATGGGGTTTCACCCCCAGAAAAACACTTTTTTTCAGGATGTAATTTTTTGTCAAGTAATTTGAAAGTTGCATTCAAAAGGGAGGGCTAAGATAATACACTCAGCTGAAAATTGCATTTTTAAGTTCACTTATCTGTTCTAAAAACCCGTTCAAAAATGTAATGACGTCACACAATAGCAGAATGCTAGCGTGTTCCGGCCAACAACGGCCTAAGCTGTAAGAAATCAAAAGGACAAAAGTACCCGTTCATTCGACTTTTGGCCTATAATCTATATTGAACTTGCGGAATCAACAATAAAATCTATGTTAATTTAACAACAAACAGGTGAAAGAGACACAGTTAGCCGTTTAGCCCCATAGACTCCCATTCATTCTGCTCTCGCCCGCGATCACCTCCAGTGGAATTCTAATGGAACTGCAACCAAGATGATACACAATGGGGTTAATAGGAAGTTAGACGGGCTCTGATCCAAAGCACATGGCACCCTTTAGCGTCAAATGAGACACAGATATATATGGGGCAGAAGGCGCCTCCTAGTGGTCTAACCCTAACCCTACCCCAGAACTAAACCTACCATAACCGAATCGTCTCATTTGACGCTAAAGGGTGCCATGTGCGTTGGATGTATACGCTTTGGCAAAAGTGTCGTATATGACGCCTTGGGATGAGAATGCGTTGGCATATACTATGCCGATGATTGAATTTATGGCACGCACAGTGTACACATACCTAAGTGTACGCATAAAAACCGAAGTATACTTTTGGCTTAACCAACCGGTTCTGTGGAGCATATAAGAAGGTACTTTGTACAATGCCTCTGTGTTTTGTTTTTTGTTTTTGTCCATACAATGGAATTCAAAGGGGTCCAATGGTGTTGTTTTGGACCCCATTGACTTTCATAACAAACCATACAAAAACAACATTTCATAGACAAAAACAATTGACACATTTCTTAAACTACCTTTTCCGTGTGTTTCAGTAAAGAAAAGAACTTTAAGGTGATTAAATGATGTCAGAATTTTCATTTTCGGGTGAACTATCCTTTTAAGTGTAAATACTTTTTGGGGCTGCTGTACATGAATGTGCGCTTTCTGAAAATAACCATACCAACACCTATGTGTACCTCACGTTTTACCCAGAAACACTGTCTATGATGAGGATTACTGATGTCAGCGCAGTGTTGATGCCAGAATCCCTTGAATGTTTTATATGTAAACATGCCTGCCATTTGTGTCTGTTCTTATAGATTTTGCAGGAAATATACTATCCCTATTTTGAAATATTTGAACAGTTTAAGCAAGTCCAATAATGCCAGAGTCAACAAAAGTAATGGCCAGACTATTCCTAATATGCATCTTAATATGTTGTATAACAAGATTCTTTAACAAAACTCTGTCTGGAGGAGCAAGTTCCTCTTAGATGTCTCTTGTTTGATATACTTTATGTACGGTGGCCCACCACAGATAACCAAAATGGAAACAGTTTCCAAACAATGGGCTTTGCTGTTGTTTACATTTTTTTTCTGCATTAGGTCTCCAGGTGCCCTGTTTCAGCCTACCAAACTGTAAGTCCTGAATGTCAGCAGTGAGATAGTGCAATGTACTGGATTTGCTGTTATGCCAAAATAAAACATGTCAGAAAAAACATGCTTTAAATAGTTCTATTAAATTCTTTCTTTGTCAACAGATGTTGTAAAAGAAAATAAGAGTTATTTAAATTAAAAAAAAGTCAAAGTTATATAACTTTGAGAAAACCTTGCCAGAACTATTAGTTTGGATGACATTATGTGTGATCAAGGGCACTTCAGCAAGCTTTATAACCTTAAGTAGATGGTCATGTGGTTCAGTGGAAAAAACAATACAACATTAAAAAAGTCACAAACGTGTCAACATCGACCATTCACGTGAAGATGAGTCATTCTGATTCCCATCAGTCACTGTAAAGAAGAAACAAGCTGTGTGTAATAGAGCAGAACTCTGAGCTGCAACTTAAAATGCTCAGGGGGGGAATTTTCACATAGTCTGTAAACACAAGACTTTATCTCCAAAATATTTATGTATGCTCCGTCTGCTAATTCCATCGTGTTGTACACAGGAAAGTTAAATCTTTCTGCGCTTGGAATCTGTTTTTTTGTCTCATAGTGTTAAATATTACAATTATTTGTGAAGACATTAACTCACACATAAACTTAAAGTGCTTTAGCCATCACTAATAAAAAAAGAATAACAGGGGGAATAAAAATTGAATGAAATCTATTTTATTCACGGTCATGTCTTTTAAAACGAGAACAATGCAAAATAGTCTTTATGCAAAAATGTGAAATCATCTTTAAGCTGTGAAGCATGGCCTGTGTGTTTATTAATAGACATGTTCAATAGCACACGCCTTGCTAGCATTTACTTTTACCTTTCAACATCTGTGTGACTGAAGTCATGTCTTCATGCTCCTTCATTCAACAATGTACTGCAGCACACTGCCCATCTGTGCAAGGTCAGTGTTCACTGGGTCACGTTCCTCCTGAGTGAAACACAATGCCTTGGCACTTCAGCTCTGTGTTGGTGCGGTGTGGCTGTCCAGTGACCTGGAAAGGAGTAATGCCAATGGATTCTTATCTGAAAGTGTCAGACAGGACAAACGTGTCGACATACTGCTCCTTGACAATATTTTGATTATCCATTTTAAGAGGAAAAAATTATTCATCAAATAATAATAATTATTGCTATATAACTACTAATAATAATTTAAAATTATTAGTAGTAGTAGTAGTACTATTACAATTATATTAGTGTTTATATTTTAAGCTGGGGTATGTAATTTTCTCTCTTTTTTTTTGACCACTTTTTTTTTTTTTAAATCACTTTAAATCCTATTCCTAACCCTCTTACAGCCACTGAGTTAGAAGCACTGAAATGAAAATTAAGCAATTTCATCATCTGTGTAACGGGCAGAACTCAAAAAACTCCAGCCAATCATTCCCAAGACCACCTAGAGTCATTGGACAGTAAATGCGTCAATCAAACGGTCGTACCAGACCCCCCTCCCCCATATCCCTCACGCGTGTGTCCCCTTCGTGCGCATACTCAAAGCTTGTGACCCAGTCACAGTAAGTGCAAGTCACCCCAGTACAGAGAGAGAGAGTAAGTGTAAGTTGCTTTCGCTCATGCATGATTGCGCGTTCATGTTCTTCGAATGGGTGGAGTCATGTGTATTTTCAAAATCTGCCGGTCGTTTTGCAAATCCCATACCCTACCTTTAATTTGAATATTGGTGCAATTGTGATGTAGGTATAATAATCTTGTAATGATGTAATAATCTTAAAAAAAAAAGGGATTGAAGTTCATTTTATGAAGTGGCCTATACTTAGGCTAAGTACAATTCAAGTATATTTTCATGCACATATCATGCACTTGTATAAATTGTTGCCTGTAATGTTGATTTGTGAGAACGAGAATGCGGGTTTGAAATAAACACCATCATCATCATTTTTAAGTGTACTTTAAGTAGTAAGTATACTAATATCAATGTACTTGTAGTAAACTTGTGTACTATTTCAATACTGCTTGGGAATAAATTGGCCCACTTTTTAGTATATAAAAGTATACGTATACGTTAAGTGTACTAGTATGACAGTAGTAAACTTTAAGTGCACAACTAGTTATACTATTTATATATTGTTTTTGCATTTTAAGTAAACCAATATGTTCATATTTAGGAATTCATTTTTATACTTTAAATATACCTTTAAGTTAAAGCTGCAGTCTGCAGTTTTTCCTCTTTGTCGCCATCTCTGTTCGAAATCTGCAATTGCAGTTATTCCGGAATTGTCAACTTTACGTGAGTTGTACTTCTACACCCTCGACACGGCACAGCGTGGATGAACACAATGTTTGAGGAGAGTGTGCGGCTGTCAGTCACCATGCCGGTGTGGATACTGGGATTCAGAATCACAGATTATTCTTTTTGGAAGTTGTCACAGGTCAGGGTAGACGCTGAACTAACCGGCCGTCACCCCTGACGCACACACCACCGCGAGGAGCAGCACCACAACGCACAGTAGGCACGACAAAAAATGGTAAGTATAAAAATCTCTTTATTTACTTTAAAACCTCACTTGAAAATAATTACTGTAGTCTAGTCAGTATAGCATTCTCTTCATACATCACAATATGTCGACCTTCATAGAAGGGGGTGTCCGCGGTTATGTAGATAAATGTCTCATTCTAAGGTTAATAAAAACAATGGTTCATTGAGTAAGGTTTTTATACACCACTGAACACATAGTTATGGATCATATATTGCATTTCTGTCAATAGATCTTTCTAAATATCACACATTGCACCTTTAAGAAAGCACTTGCCATGCACAAAAAAGGGCTGTTGATACAAAATAAAAACCTCAAGAACCCACTTACTTTATGCACTTGTGTAATGTGCGCATTACAAGTCTCACAGTATGATGTGATTGCTGTTGGGTGTTGGTAATCAGCAGAGCAAATTGGGAGGCAACGCCCTTATGTTCCACGAGAGATTCTCTCCCACTAAGAGGACTACTACAGCAAAGAGGACTGAAGCAGACACATTTCCAGCACTGAAACATGTAATTGGTTG